TGTAAGGGTGAAACTCTAAGTCAAATGTGAAGATATTACCCTCTGAACCTTGCCCTTTGACTTGTAGTATTCAATAACAGGGAGGCTGGACTCCATGTAAACATTAAATCGCTTCCTTATTGTGTCTATATTGTCATCTTCTCTTCCCTTCATGTCAGAAAATAGAAAAATCACGCAATCATACAAAAAAAAACATATCACATAAAAACAGACCAGAAACTTCTAATTGTTATATACTCCTTATAAAAAAGACCTGATTACGGCTCAAAAGGCGGCTCTCCATCTCTTCCTCAGAACAATCAAAGAAGAGGACAAATTCTGGAAGAATTCCAGTCTGCAAATAATAAATGCAAGAGTACCTTATTACGTTGCTGCTGGGTAACATTGATGCGAATTTGAACATTTAAATGTCCAAAAAAACTTACAACTCGTTCAAAAGCTTCACGATTTTCTTCGTTGCGAGGGAAGCCATCGATAAGAAACTTGTCGTTCTTATTATCATTGATAGCACGTTGGAGGAGAGCAATTGTTACTTCAGAAGGTACAATTTTTCCTTCTTTGATCATGTTCTGAATCATTGTACTATAAGGTAAAGAACCATTAAGTTAAAATGCATACTTCTAAAAATCTAAAATGACTAAATCACCATAAGGACGACTCCCAATAAATTATACACATTCATCTTGCCCTCAGTGATCTCCCCTTTCTAAGAACAAAGGAAAGTGTTTGCCGATGCCACAAACACAAAATTCAGAAAAATGAGAACATTTTCCTAGAAACAAACGGAGCCTTAGTGTCATATCTCTTTTGAATATTCATTTGTGTTAAGAGCATCTATTTTCTGACATTCTTTGCTTATTTGATTCCCTTGAATTCATTAAGTCAAAAACTCAAAAAATTATTAAATACTCCATATCATTTTTTTCACATAACTAGTACACTGGGTATGGAGGTCAAATTAGTCAAAGCTCCTAGTCTTTGGTGTCAATTTAGATGTGTAGAGGGCAATATTACCCATTTTCCGATCCGGACTTGATCTCTGCACGGAGGAGATCCCCAGCACTTAGATGGGTGTACCCAAAATGCTCAACTATTTTCGCACATTGTGTGCCCTTGCCACTTCCAGGGCCACCTGCAAAGTAAAAGAGCAGACATTACTAAAACTGGAGTACATATCCTGATATAAAGAAACTACCATCAATTAAAAAAATACTTTGGACTTTATTATTCACAATCCGTTGCCATTAACTAAAACAACAATCCAAATTGTTAGATTTGATTTTCCAAATGGGGGCATATGGGACGTGAAATTCATGATTAGGATTGACAAAACACAATGTTACTCATATTGGTACTTGTGAGTTGTGAATATCTTAAGATGATGATGATGATGAGCAGCTTATGTAAAACCCACGTACTCACCTAGGACAAAGACAACCTTAACCTTTTTATCAACTGCACTGCTTCCATTTGCTCCCTGCAATAAAACCTAATTTATCAAACAATATCCGAGATAAATAAGCACATTTTGATGCACACCGTGCCCAAAACTACAACAAATTTCCGGTGCCTTCAAATTTATGTCCTGTGTACAATTTTCAATTATTTATCACCAATCCATACAAATACAAGCTCTGGTTTCCAAATTTGAATTTCCACTAATGCATATGGTGATGACTAGATAAAATCATTTTTATTCCACAATTTAGAACCCTTAAACTCTATTAGTTTTGGAATCAATTAATAACTTTCAAGTACTGCTGGATGCATTGGCGGTGGGGTGGGGATGGGAGGAACGGAGATGTGGTGGAATGATATTGAGCTTGCAAAACATTTCCAAGGTACCTTGTTTGCAAAGTCAATGACGGTCCCCATGAATGGCAAAAGAAACTAGTGTTTTGGGTGAGTAATCTGCATAGACAGGTTGATAATAAATAAACTTCATCGATCCTTCTTCACAAGAAATAAAAATATGTAAATAAGCACATCTATGACAATATGTTGAAACCTGAAACATATTCGAAAGAAAAATGCCAAAAGATGATCCAAAAAATTGTGCCTCTGAAACTTTTATAGAAAATAATGAGCAATTCAAGGAACGAAGAATCCTGATCTAACATCTTACCCCATGATGAGAAAATGGTAACTGGTTAGATTTAAAGGATGTAATAGATAATCCAGATCCTTTAGTAAACCTTGGTGATGTTTTAAAAAGGATGCAAAGAAAATGAAAACACACACCAAAATTAAGGGTAAACACAGATGAGACTGAGACAATTGCAGGTCATTACAGAATCCAATCCATGAACTTTAGAATGAAATATACCATTTTACAATCCAATTTCTGAAATTTCAAATCTGACCTCTGTACACAGATTGGATTATTGAATTCGAGGATTCAGCCAGTGAAAGTATTTTGAAAGAGGAAAAAAAAGTACAATGAAATAGAAATGCAATATATGTAGTAATGAAGACAAAACAAGTCTCAAGAGATAACTCTTCAGGAGTCCCAATGGAACTCTCCTGCAAGATGTTATTACCCTTAAGCAAACCGTTGATTTTACAAAATCTAATGCATGCCCTCTTCTAAAAAAAGCCTAACACTAAATCACTACTCATAGTATAATATAGAATATATAATATAAGAACATAAAGTAAGCAAGAAATTTATATTTCAGATCAATTAGGAATAGAAATCACTCTTTATTGATCTTGTCTAGTCATAGGTCCACAAATTTGTACAACTTGACTCCCATTTTTCCCTTGCATTTCAAATCCTATCATATTTTCTTCGATGAATAAATTACTACCATTCAAAAACTCAGCAGCTAAATAACAAAGGAATATCCTCAAAGTTAAAAACTAATAACAAAAGAGCTCGGATGGTGTATCTAAAGTCAGGAAATATTACACCAACAACTTCTAAATTTATGGTCATCTTATCTGTAAAATTTCAAAAAAAAAAAAAACAAATTAAAACCAAATATTTTTTTTTATAAAAAAACTAAGCATTGATAACTTTATAGATGAAATTATAATTTCCAAAAGGTGAATAAATTCAACAAGGTGTCTTGCTCTAAGGCAATAAGGCAGATACAGAATAGATCTCGCTCCATTGTCATAACAAGAATTACCCCATCAATAAGTTCAAATTGCATGAATACCAAATGTAAAAATGAAAAGAAAGACCACATTTTAACAGCAAACTCGCGAAGCGAGCAAATTGCACATTAGAACACCATATCTGCGCTGTAAAGGAGGAAGGAATTGAGCATTGATGTGATTGACATCCAAATCAAATTTATCAATGCACATGGCATAGAATTCCACCCAGAAAGCGTTCCCTAGCTAAATAAACCGAAGATCCAAAGATCTAAATCCAGACAACGCGAAAATGGAGAAGAACAATCACCTTACCACTTGGATCAAATCAATAAAAACAGAAACAAGTTCGAGAATTGAACCTTGTGATTTGTGGATGAATAAACAGAGAAATGCGAGCAAAAATAATCAACGAAATCTGGAAGATCATAGACGACGTGAGAAAAGTTTAGACATAGATGGGGGCTGTAGATTTACCAGGAGTCCAGGAAGAAAAGACTGGGCGAGAGAAGAGGGAGGGAAATGGAGATCCAGGAGAAAGACAAAGTGTGAGCCAATTGCGGGAGCATAGCCATGTGTTTTTATACCTGCAAAGACCTGGCAAATTGGTCTATTTAAAAGGACTATTTTAATTTTGTTTGAAAACATAAATTTATAGTACTAAAAAAAATATACAATTATAACTTTATTTTTATGATACTATATTTCCTAGAAAATTATCTAATTTTGAAAAAGTCTAACATTTACAAGCTGGTCAGGTTTGATTTGGGTTTGACCCATTTTTTGCATGTCATTTCAAGTCCGGTCAGATTTGACTATTCTAGCGGGTCATTTCGGGTTCGATCAACAAAATTTTTGTCAAAACTAAATGTTTTCGAGTTGGGTTTTGGGTCAAAACATGTCGGGTCATTTTTTTCCAAGTCTATCTTTTGCACAAAAAAGGAAAAAAAATACTAAGAGTAAAATATAGAAAATGTATCAAAATAGATTTTGAAATATGGAAGAAGTTTAAACTGTGGTAAACTGGTAATGTGTCACTGTACAATACTTGTTGCTAATGTACATGATCATGATTAGCACTGTAGTCTGTATATGCATTTTAACTCCTATTTTAAAAATAAATTTTGAAATATGGAAGAAGTGATATGTGTATTGAAATCTTGAAAAATGAAGAAAATACAGATAAATCAAGTAAATTAAGAACCCAAAAATGAAAATTTAAAACCATTTTTTATCCACCATCTTCTGTTGTATCCCCCCCCCCCCCACCGCACAAGACATACGATGAACAATTTGAAGTAGAAGATAGAGGTGCCGTCGGTGATGAAAATAGAGCAATTGCCTTCCCATTATGTTCACTGTGATTGGGACATGAACGCTACAAGCTTGTCTCTTTGACTTATTTCTATCACTTATTTTTATTGAAATCCGTTCAAATCATATCAAATCAAATGAAAAACAACTTAAAAGAAGGAGGAGGAATTTTAAAATTCATAATTCATACTATTACCTGACATGTAAATCGTTTAATTTTCAAATTTTCAATTTTAATTTGTAATACTTTGTATCAAAAACATATTAAAACACTAATTCTAATTAAAAGATATTATTTCCAAAAGTGATATAAGTATAGAGGATCTACATAGAGCACATTTTCTTTAATTTATTTTAATTACTTATTTTTTTATACTCCATTCAGACTATATCAATTAAAAAATATTACTCCGTATTAATCATAACTAGAAATGGATCAAATCTCTTTTAATCACATCAAAACTAATAAATTCAAAATGAACTAGAAATGGAACCGGCCCATTTTAGGTGTTGGACTACATATAGGATCGGCTCATTACCCGACGATATGAAATTCAATTAATAAAACAAAAAAAAAACAGGCGAAACGGGGAAAACCCCATCTGCAAGTGCGGATAAAATTCAGGTTTCAAATCTTCGGTTTCCCGGCAAATTGGTCTGAAAATTGAAAGCTCGAAAGCTCCTTTAGTCGGAAATCAAGCTCTCTTGCTCGGAATATGGTCGCGAAACCTTGAACAGATCGGGTAGTTGCACTCGATTCGACCTAGGGTTTCATTTCAGGATGTTTTTTTTGCTTCATTGAAGATTTGAATTTAACATTCTTGAATTTACATTCTAGGGTTGCAGCAGTCTGTTGCAGGAATGGATAAAGTTGTGGCTACAGTGAGTGGATACCAGGGGTCCGAGCGATTCAACCTCATCAAGCTGATTGCCAAGGCTGGCGGAAACTATGTCGGCACAATGAGTGATTCCGTCACGCACCTGGTTTGTATTTGATTTGTGAAATTCACTTGTCTGCATAATCTAATAGCGAAAAAAAATAGATTATAAACTGTTCCTTCAAGGAGCTGTCTGTACTGTATTCAGAACACAATGTTTCGGGATAGTGAATAGAGTCGTTATGAATTATGTTTCATAGGTATGTTGGAGATTTGAAGGGAGGAAATATGAACTTGCCAGGAAGTCAGGAAAAACATTCATTGTTAACCATAGGTGGATCGAAGACTGTATTAAGAAAGGAAGACGTGTTCAAGAGAATCCATATATGGTACAATGGTATGCCACTTTATCCTCCACGATTTATACATTTTTTTCAGTGGATAGTATATTTTTTGGCTCTCAAAAGCTGTATTTTATCTACTTACCTGGCAAGTCAACGTGCTAATTGCCGGTCCGGCCAGACGACCCAGTCTCAGTCCCTACTCTCTAAACATTGCTTTCAGCCTTTCACCATTCAATGCAAGAAACTGAACATTTAATTCTTGTTATAGCATGTAGTTATGTTTTGGCTCAAATGAATATACCTACTCCGAAGTATTGTATATCTTTTCCATTCACTGTTAACATGTATATTCTTGCACGATTTTGTGGTTAGCACATATGTTTTTTTAGTAGTAACTGTTTATAAAACTCAGTTCTAAACATTATTTTTATAATATCAATTGTTTTTCAGCGGGGAAGAAGTTGGGCCACTGATGAACACTACACTTGTCAGTGGAAGTAATAAATCCACTGAGTTCAATTATAACGATACATGGATTGATAATGCTCTTGAGGTGAGTGATCATGTTGCTTTGTCCAATGCGGCTTTTAAAAAGCATCTGATTTCTTAGTTTGTTTCACCGGTTTCTAGTTTGTAAACTTACATGAAATGATAATGACAAACTAAACCAATGTAGCTGATTAAGCATTTGGATTTTTTACACTTTAAACTATGTTTTGCTGGTCAACCTGGTCCTATATGCTTCTTCCGTTGACATTAAAGAACATCTAAAGTAACTGTTTAGCTACACGTGCTTTCATCAATCAAATGTTTGTTCCTCAATTCTTCAGTAGATAATAGAAAGCTGTTCACACTTGATGCATGTTGTATGGGTTTGTATTCTTGCTGCTTCCTTGCTTACATGGAATGAAACATGAGTTAGCTCTACGCATTGAGAAGTTTGCATGTCTTTTTTTCTCCTAAGGTTAGAAGTGAACCCCATAGAGGGCTAGGTCATTGTTAGGAATGCTGCTGCATGGTGGGGGCTAGTTTATCTTAATACTTATATCTCATTGAAATGGCCCTTAATATCTTCCATTTGAAGCAATTATCATTATCAAAAAGAAATTATTGCTCTCAGGTAATTGAAATAATCTGCTATGAAAGTAACTCTAGTTCTTTTCTTTCATGTGCTAACTTTTTGAAGGAATATATTCCCGATCATGAAATAGAAAAGCATAAATCTGGGCAGGAAAAGAAAAGACGATGTCTTAAGCATAACCATAACTTAAGCAACAGACATCGGCTTGATGGTCCTTCTATATCAGGCTCATGTAGGACGGAGGTATGAAATTTGATCAGTTTGTGCAATGAACTTATAAGTTGTAACACAATATGCTCTGCTACTGTCTACACACATTAGTTAGGCTTCATTTTTTATTTTGTTATTGTGACTCGGTGAACAATGTCTTAAGGTCGGGACTGATTATGTTCACCTTGTATGAGTTGTATCTAGACAGAGGAACCAAGTCCTGAGCGTCCACTATTTCTTACACCAAAAAAGAGGGACAAGGAATTGCCTGAAACATCTCTTAAACGTCGTAGACTGGTGAAAAAGAATATTAGGGATGTGTTAGAGATTTCAGATTCAGAACAAAGCCCACAAATTCAATCTCTGCCAGAAGATGAAGGTATCTTGCATTCTAACAATATAAATGTTGAGCATGAAGGCATATCAAATGAGAGTGACACAACAAAATTCAGCAATGCGGAGGACCTGGAGAAGAGGACTGATGGTCCTGAAGAAATTCTAACTATGATCAATGGTGAAAATTCAACAACAAACCCAAATGGTGACAATCCATTATCTCCATTCAATTCACCACCAAAGCATATGCTGGATGTTGGTGTAGATGAGAGAGGTGAAAATTGTGTGAGATTGCCCACATCGCCAGAGCGCTCGTGTGTCATATGCTGGACAGATTTCAGCTCAACCCGGGGGTTGCTACCTTGTGGCCACCGTTTTTGTTTCTCGTGCATCCAAAGCTGGGCAGATCAAATGGTAAACTTCACCCTTTTATATTTCCTTTCCAGCTTTGACCCTGTTTGGTAAGGCTTAAATTGGTTGAATTTATCTACTAAGTTATAGCGGAAATGGTTGAATATACTCCGTACTATATTATTTTTGAGTAAATTCAATAAATGGTCCTTTATAACAGAGGAGTTTCCCTATTTAGTCCTCTATTATCAAATATTACTCTAGTAGTCCTTCTTTTATTGGTATCTTTCCACAAATAATATAATATATAATTTATCTACCAATATCAGAACACGTCACTAGACATAATGTTGATGTCAAATTATACTTTTAGCCTTTAAATTAACACCAACATGGCAGAAGATCAAAAAAAGGACCATTTGTGGAAAGGCACCCTTAAAAAAAGACTACGGGGATAATATTTGATAATAGAGGACTATATATGGAAACCACCCTGTTATAAAGGACCAATTATAGAATTTACTCATTATTTATTAACAATTATTTGAATATGCTTTTAAATGAATTTAAATCCGGTGTAAATTTGACTTTTCGCTGTCAAAGTAGATGAAATATGATCATCATCATTTAAATAAACATTGTATTGCATATTATTCCAAAATTGATTTCATTAAATTTATCTTGCAAGAAACTTTCAAAAAAAAAAAATCATTGTATAACTATGCAATTTAATTTTTATTTAATTGATAATTAAAGTTTGTCCAGTTTGTTGAAAAAGTAAAACTAAACGAATACGTTGGAACATATGCAGTAATATCAAAATTAAATTTATGATTAACAATTTCCTACGTATTGTTCCATTAAAGCAAGAAAAATAAAACAGAAAACTTATACTCAACTTGTTTCATCATGAAAGCATTGTAACATAGTCCGTGCATTTGGTAAAAACAAAACTGGCTGATAAGCCAAAACTTAAGTTCACCAAAAGGGCCCTCTGCTACGTAATTTGTGCATGTTTTGCTTGCTGCTATCGTTCAATGAACTCATTTTGTGTGGAGTTACATAGATTGATAACTACATATAATTCCATTCACGTTGATGTAAATGTCATTGTCACAGGTAGCATGTGGAAAAACTTCAACATGTCCTCTATGCAAGGTTGGATTTGCTAGTATCACCAAGGTCAACGCTGTTGTGTCCTCCGACCAAAAAATATATTCACAAACTATTCCTCACGACCGTCCGGGAACTGACATTTATATCCTTCCTGATGGTGGAACATCTCGTTTTCCTGCCAACGTAAGTGTCATTCTGTCTCTTTACCTACTAGTGATGTCCCACTCTGTTACGTTTTGCCCACATTTCCCTTTGATAAGATACATTTCATTCGAGCATGTATAGATATGGAAGCATAAAATCTGATTTCTAACGTGATTATCGTTCTTAATTAATTCAAGTGGTTTCCCAGCTCAGTTTAGTTTGGTTCCTTTTTGGGTTATTATGCAGACATCAACAATGCCTCCAGTCTGTTGCCAATGCCTTTCGCGAGCACCAGAGGAACTTCTCATCTACTGTCATGTGTGCCAGGTTCGATGTATACACGAATATTGTCTGGATCCGCCATTGCAACCATGGTCGTGCCTACACTGTAAGGACATGCAGAGGCGTTATCTATCGTATTACCGTCCCATTTGGTAGCCCTCCCATGGATTATTGTACGTATTTTTTTTATTTACTTTCAAAGAACTTGTTTAGTCTAGGTGGGTGTTTTCGGTTATCATTTCTACGTAAAAAGGGTTCTACTTTCAGGTCTTTCACATTGAGAGCTTTCTTCCGCCAGCACAACCCTTTCACAGTCCAAATTCAGTTATAGAGTGTTTATTCGAATTTAGTTTTCCTTCATTTCTTATTAATTCATTTAAGAATATTGCTGTTAAATAATACTCCGTAAAAAAGAAGTTATCCTAAGTATTATTAAAACATAGAGAAAATATCAAAATAGAAATTTCATTTTTTATTCTCTAAATAGGAGTTCGCATTGTGGTGATGTGACACTGTAATGAGCATTTTACTATATTTTTTGGTAATGTACATGACCATGATTGATAATGTAAATGTATTTTAACTCCTATTTCAGGAATTAAAATATAGAACTCCTATTTCGGTGTATTTTCAATGTTTTAGAGCATTTACAATTATCCCGAAATTTGCCCCACCCAACTCTTGTCCCATCCGCATTCCACTAGCTTTCTGTTCCGTTCTAAAATCTTGCAATGATATCACCTTGAAAACCTGTCTTTCCATGTTTTTTACATTTTTAAAATCATTTTTAATTACGAATTTTTTTTAAAAAAATAAAATACATATAATTAAAATGAAGTAATTAATTGACATTCTTTATTAGTCTTACAAACAACATTCTTCTAAAAACAACATTATTTATTAAAAACAACATTAATATAAAACATGAAATACACCAAAATATTCCCTCCGTCCACAAATAAAGTTCCCGTTTACGATTCACAGAGTCAAACTTTATTCATTTTGTTGGCCTATTTTTGTGTCTTACTTGATAAAATAATATATTCATGTCATCTCTAGTTTTGTAGATCTTTTCATGTAGTTTTTAAATATGTAATTTTTATTTTTTAATTCCATACCATATTTCATATAAAATGATTTGAAAATAATTTCAGTCAAACATCGTAACGCCCAATGGGAACTTTATTTGTGGACGGAGGAAGTATACATAAAATTTTAAAAAACAAATGAAAAACATTAAAAAATGAAAAAGCCATTTGTTTTTTTATTTGAGAGAGATGCAGAGAAATTAAGAAAATGGGTAAATTGAGATATGAGAGTGGATGGATTGAAGTAAAAGATGTGTTGAATTTATAGGGATTGAAAATAATCGGAGCGCAGCAGACTGCCTGTAGTAGGCGGTCACTACGAAAACAACCACGATTCCTGGCCTTTCGCCGCGGCGGAAGACGTGCAGCGCTTGGCGAGCCGCGAAATCTCCTCGGCATTTGTGCGGCTGATGGATTCTAAAACGTTGCAAATGTCCTTTTTCTTACTTAAGACTTTTTCCCAATAAAATGTTGATAGAATTTTATTTTGAATAACATAATATATTATGAGTCACATTTATTTTTAAAAGAAAAAAGAGAGAAAAATTATTAACAACTACATTTCCCTCCGTTTTGCGTCATTTGTGCCGTCTCTACAATAATGGGTTTTTTTTTGTGTATGATGGATGATCTTTTTAACACTAATAATTATATTAGAGGGTAGTGTTTATTTGTACACTTTCAACTTATTGGTGTTTTGGACTCCTCAAGTCTCTCCAAGAAAATGTTCACTATGAGGTACTCCCTTGGTCTCACAATAGATATCATTTTTTGAATAACGTGTAAAATTTCATCAATTTTAAAATTATTTTAATTATAAATTAGTACAGAAATAAAAATATATATAAACTATACATTCAAAAGTACATAGAAATTTTTACTAAAGAAGATGTGATTAAAATATTTTATTTTGTCAAATAATCAATAAAAACGTACAAACAAACAAAAGTTATGGAGAGACTGTAGTAGATTCAAAAGTACATAGAATTTTTTATGAAAAAAGATGTGATTAAAATATTTTATTTTGTCAAATAATCAGTAAAGACATACAAACAAATAAAAGTTATTCAGAGACCGTAGTAGTTTGAAGGGCATTCAATTTGAGACGGAGAAAGTATGATTATATTATTTTATAAAGATGATAAAACTTGACCATGTATATAATACTCCGAGTATTGTACTAGTGTAGTTTTTTTGGTGGGAAGAGAGTGAATTAAATACTAGCTACATCTCGTAAAATTTTTCTGTTTTAACTTTTGAAATGGGAAGTTATAGAACTTTGACCAATGTAAAACGACGACAATTAAAAAGAGTAGGACTCGAGAAATGTCAAAATAGAGAAGGCGTAGAAGATAGTTAAGATATGTTTGGTCAGGTTTAAGAAAAATAAAGACATTTGTGTCCATTTAACTCAAATTGAAATATTTTATCCGTTTCAAAATTATCTTTCAATGTCATTTAATAATGTTTTCATGATTTTTGAAAATTCATTTACTTATTATTGAAAACTCTTTACCTTTTGTTGGAAGTACACCCTATCATTTTAGTCTAATTTTAGTCGTGATTCATGCCATTATTTCTTCTTTCACATGCAATAATCAATCAAATCGGCATCTTATAGTGAAGGTAACTTTATTCACACTTTGATAGTCAAAATAAGTGAAATGGTGTTTTGACATCCACCGCCAAAATAGTACCCCTCCCTCCTAAATATTTCTTTCCATTTCTTTTTTTGTTATTCAAAATTCTTAATTTTTCTATAAAAATATCACATTTATCCCTATTAATTTTTTAAACTATCTATCACATCATATTTCTTTTACTAATAATTTATCCATCCATTAAATTTTAATTTTACCAATCACATCAAGATTATTTTTAGAAAATTAATACAAAAATATCCCTACCTTTAATTTTCTAAAAGTCAAAATGGAAACATTTATATGCAACGGATGAAGTAGAAAATTACTTTGGGATACCCTTTATTTTATGGTAATTAGAACACTCAAATCTTAAATTATTTGAAATATACACTGCAATATCATTGACTTTTAATAAGAACTCTCTAGTCCCACATTAAAGTATATTTTGAAGTATATAAAAGTTGTGATATTATACTTCGAGTGTACGTGCAGTCGACTTAGGCATTAGAATTGAAAGTTCCTGCTTTGACAAATTAAAGAATTTTACTATAATTCAATGAAATAATGATTATGAAAGTAAAATATGGTATTAGTCAAAATAACAGAATTTTCAATTTCTTAACAGTCAAATAGACGAGATACACCATCGGAGTACATTAGCACAAGTTTTAATCAAGGACTCCGAGAGGAAGTATATTTCAGATAATATGGTACATAAGAATTCTAACCAAAAAAAGCAAAAATACCTCAAAGTATATACTACGTATCAGATAATATGGGATTTAAGAATTATTATTAGAAAATCAGGGGTATTATAGAGTAATTTTCTGTGCAAAATGGGGTTCATATAAATTTTTTTTCTCAAAAACTTTTTAAGTACACGAGTTCTTCCCATGGAGTAGTACTTCATTCTTTATATTAAAAGAGCTTCTATCTCACAGATTACTTCTAGGGAGTATTATAAAAATAATTAAATTCCACAATGTTTTTATTTTTTTTTAGAATTTATTTAATATAGTAAAAACTAAAAGTATTTATTATGAGTGAACTCATTCTAATGGTTCGTATTGTATACATCAGTGCGCACGTTACTTGTACAGCTGGATGTCACCGATTCAAGTTAGTCGATAGTATGAGGCATTATAATACTCCCTCCCTCCTTAAATAAACTTTAGTTTTTGACTTTTTGAGTATTTAAGGGAAAGATATTTTGGTATTGACTTTCCAAAAATACTCTTGATGTGATGTGTAAAAGTAAGATGTGATATGTAGATTATTAGTAAAAAGGTACTCCGTATGATGTGATAGGTAGAGTATAAAAAAGTAAGGGGTAAAAGAGGTTTTTTAAGGGAAAAGAGAAATTTATTTGGGGACAAAGAAAAAACGAAATAAGAAATTTATTTAGGGACGGAGGGAGTATTAAATTTATTTATTTATTTTACTCGTAATTTATTTATTTATATATACAGATTCTCAAAATTCTATTTTTTTCACAATAAAATGATTCTAAATAATAACTATTAACCTATTTTTTACTTTCTCTGCCCGTGAGTAATATTTGTCTACTTTTGACTTTTTCCGGTCAGAATTGATAAACTTTGACCTCAAATTAAATAAAAATTATATTAGATAGCGATACAAAAATAGTTTTCTTAGACTTATTATATCAATTTTTTTCAAAATATTACTCCGTATTTTATCTAATCAATATACAATATATACATTTTATTTAATTAAAGGTCAAAGGTTGAAAACCATTGATCGAAAAAAAGTCAAAACTGGAAAAATACTCAGGGATGAAGTTAGTAATTATATATCAATGCGTATTGAATTTTTTTTCACATTTATATTGAAATGAAACTATCCTGAAATAAAGTACTGCCGACTGCGTACTCTGTGTCCAGCAATGAATTCACATACGGAGTATTTTTTTGGAAATATTTGTACTAAATAGCACTAAAACTTAAGTAATTTCTCTAAATAGGACTTGAACTGTTTTATTCCCTAAATATCACTTAATAATGTCTATAATGTCCAGTGATGACGAATATTTACTTGAATAATGATTAATGCATAATGACTAAAAGTGCTATATTAGGAAAAAAACATATGTAGTGTTATTTAGGGAAAGTCATTATGCTTTAGTGTTATTTCAGTAAATTTCTCATTTATTTTTTTAAAGGAAATGGGTATTATGGTTTACACTACTCTTTGTGTGGATTCAATACAAATTCCAACCTTTTTTGTGCTAACATCTGTTTAAAAGTTTTGCGAATTCAAACAATAAGTTTAATTATTAAATGAGCACACGTATGACGTACCTATTTACCCTTGATAAACTTCTATACAATTCAATAACTGTTACTTAATTAATGATGTGTATTAAAGACAACAAGGGCATCATTTCCACACCATTAAGCGATAGAGTCAAATACTTCCTCGTGCTTATTATTTATTTCTTACAGTCATTCACTTTTTACTTAAATGCTTGCATGAATATTTTATTTAAATACAAGAAACGTATAGTAGTATATATGGGGCCTGTTTGGGAAATAGCTTTAAAGATTAACAACGTTGGCGTTTTGAAAATGTTATCTATGAGCAGCGTTTAGCGCTAGTATTTTCAGAGTAATCTGCAACGTTAAAATTTGATCCAAAACGCAAATGCTAATCTTTAACGTTATTTCCAAAGAGGCTCATAATGATACATGTGTTTACATAAATAAAATGGAGAGAATAACAAATGGGAAGGAAATTGAAGAATGAAGCTAAGAAGCTAATTAAGCTAAGAAAGTAGCTAGGTAGGAAAGGAAGCAGTGTGAGGGGAGTCGGCGAAGAGGAGAGTTTGTTGGATGATCTTCTGAGCCTTTCTGCTGCGCAGTTCGATCCGAGTGCTCTCGCTCTTCTTCATCTTGTCGTACCATGAACATGACGATGAAGAAGAAGAAGAAGAGTGATGGCGAGCCACTATTATAGTACTATTGTTCCTCCTCCTCCTCCGAAGAAGGAGCTTTGTCTTGACACTCACCACTAACCCTCTCAACCCCATCCCCACGAGCTTTCAGCTCTCACCACCGAATTGAATGAAGAAGCTAATTAATTATCAAGCCAGCTGCTAAGGGCGGGGCTATATATATGTGTGTGTGTCTATATATATATATATATATATATATATATATATATATATATATATATATATATATATATATATATATATATATATATACTCCGGGACTGAGCGAGTAATAAACATACATGAACAGTTATGTAAAGTAAGAAATAGTATTAATAAAAGTGACTTTTAAATAAGAAGTGAATTTTTTTACTTAAATAAGACTAAATCATAATGATTTTTTCAATGACCATATGTTTTTATTTTCCAATGCAGAACTATTGGTCATTATTTATTAGTCATTATTCAACTAAATGTCCAACATTACTTGGATATTGTTTTTCTCATTAATTATTATGAAGTCCTATTTAAATAATAAAAAAATTTATGTTCTACATTAAAAAATTAACGATTACATTTATTTTAGGTCAAATGAAAAACAAGATAATAGACAAATAGTATAGCTATATATAGGGTGTGATTACACGTGATGGCCTACGTGGATGCCACCTAAGCCGCGTGATGGTGGAGAACATCGCCATCCTCACCCATGCATGATCGTGATTGACCTCTTCCCCACCACGGTCATCACACACATTCACACGCCTATTTTATTTCCTTTTTTTTTCTCCTTTGCTTTGTGCGGCCCTTTTTTCTCTTTGTTTCCTTTCTTTCTTTGTTTTCTTTACTTTTTTTATTTTTAATTTCAAGATTTTTGTTATTTAAATGAAATATTTATTCTATGATTAGATTTTTAGATAATTTTAATTTTTTATATGTGCTTTTAGATTTAACATTTATGGAATTTTTATTTTTTGGATTTATTTTAAGTAATTTTAATCAAAATAGATGTAAAAAGGATATAATTTGGCTTTTTAGATTCCAACTGTTTTCATATCAAGGTAATTTTAGTTTGAATGTTAATGAATTATTTATTTAATGTTTTTTATTTTAAGTTAATTATGATTTAAAAAATTAGGCGTTATGGGCATGATTCACACCCTTGTGGTGTGATGTGTTATGGTGTGAAAGAGAAAAACTAATCTTGTGCTGAGTGATGTTGAGAGGGATGACGTGATAGGCATGATGACATGATCCACACCCATTAGCCGAATAGTAGTATTTTTTAGTGATATTAATTCTATTATAAGGTAATATATGTTCATACTATTTTAAACCTAATGACACATAAAGAGCCAATGCCACCGTCTACACATATATTTTAGATAAAAAGATTCTTTATATTTTGAGATTATGATAGAAAAATAAAAATTTAGAAATAACTACATAAAACGGACCGGATGCATGAATAAGCGATTACTAAAACGTATGTATATGCAGAGCGGATTATAAACGGATCGCATATATGATTACGAAATCCATATCCATTTTACGGACCATTTACCAATTGAATACGGATAATAACCGTATCCGTAAAATTGTTTGAATATTTTGTTTATGAAGTACGCTTTATTATATCCATATAATAAAGCATATCCGTATGGATTTCGTAAGCGGATACACTACACCGGTAGATAAATTTCACCAATTGAATTTGTATATCGGGTTGTGGTGGGGTCGGCGACTCACGGACGGATAGCGCTGAGAGACATTAATTTTGAGGTTTAAATGATGAAGAGTTGTGAGCCTTTGATCTAAAATTAGATAAAAATGGAGGGTAGAGATTAAAAGTGGCTAGGAAATTGGCTAGTACAATTAAGAAGAACACTGCTATCCCTAGTACAATTAAGAAAAATATATGGGCCCTTTGGAAATGGGCCTGGATTAATTCGATCCTAATTGTCCAACGGATCCAAACTCGTCGAAACGACAACCTTCCGAGTCTGACAATCCATCCATGCAAGTAGTGCAACAATTTCCATTTAATTTGGAGTATGTTTTTTTCGTGAGGCGGTAAATTAATTCAACTACGAACCAATGCAAAGAAATTGGCTAAATTCATGCATGCATCTATATATACTCATTCCATCCCAAAATTAACTCCCAAAATAATACATTAGACTTTTTACTATCTTCAATGAACACTTTGACCATCAATATATTTATAGTAAATGTATATAAAATTAAATTTAATTTTTTTCATAATATATGGTCAAAGTTTAAAAAATTAGGCCATAAAAGTCAAACGGAAAAGTTAATTTTAGGACATAAAATTTTTTTAGAAATTTTTCTAAAAAATAAAAAGTAGATTGTTTTTAAAAAGATGAAGAAAAAATATGCGATAAAATAATACTCCCTCCGTCCACAAATAAACTTCTCGTTCACTATTCACTTTGTTGATCTATTTTCGTCACCCATTTGATAAAATAAAATAGGCATGTCACCTCTAGTTTTTTAGACATTTTGATATACTCCAGTTTTTTAGTATGTAATTTTTATTTTTAAATTTTACACCATTTTATATATAAAATGATTTGAAAATAACTTCAATCGAACATCGTAACGCGCAACAGAAAGTTTATTTATGGACGGGGGGAGTATTTCGTATTAGGAAAAAAATATTGTGTATATTAAATTATTTTTATGAATAAAAGAATATTCTCCCTTTATATAAGAAGAGAAAATATCAAATAATTAAGTAAAGTTCTACTCTTACGTACCATAATTATATGCGAGCCATAACTACCAAATATGTAAAGTACATCATAATACTACGTAATTATAACTTAATTATAAGAAAATATTCCGTAACATTATTGAGGAAGAAGACATGAATAAATTAAAGAGTTAATTTGTTTGTGAAGCAAAGCGCAAAACATGCAACACACCGCACGCTTTAGTTTTTCCTTTGATATTCCTTCCTTCGATTCGTCGTTAACCAGCAATAACATAACATGTTATAATAATAGAAAAACAATAATAATAAAAATGCACTCTCCTTAATTTCCTCGCCGCACAGCCGATGAAGCTTCCCGCCGGGAAACCCCAAACACGAAGAAAATCCGTCCCAAAGATTATTCTCCCCTTTGTACCCATCGCCCTTCTCTTCACCGTCATCTCAATCGTCCGATATTCCCACCGCGACATCTCCGGCGACACGAATTCCCCCTCGTCCTTCGTCCTTTCTTCCTATGATAATTACGTCGCGTCCGATGTTGTAACAAAACATGCGGAAGAAGAACACGCCGGAGAGCTTCCGGGTGGTCGACCGTACGATCGTAGCAGCGAAAGTCAGTCGTCGCCGCCGCCGTCAGAAACCACCGCCACGACGGTGGAAATAGACAAGAATGGCCGTGGTGAAGACGAGGGCACAACAAATAACAATAACGGTAAGGGCATTATTGATAAAAGAAAATTATAGAAAAAATATGGTCTGCTTCATTTTTTACGCATTCTTAAATTCACATCTATACATATCTATAATATACCAGTACCATATTTCTCTTTTATTACGGGTAGAAGTTGTTTTGAAAATATTTTAGGTATGGTCAAATTGTTTTATGAAATGCGAAAAAAATGAAACATAGAGTATTACCTAAATAAGACTAAAACATAATGACTTTCTTAATATAATAATATATGTTTTTATTTCCCAATGTAGGACGATTGGTTATTATCTTTTAGTCATTGTTCAACTAAATGTCCAGTAACATTGTTTTTTCACTAGTTATTACTAAATCCTATTTAAAAAATAAAAAAGTTTAAGTCCTACATTGAGAACTACATTGAGAAAGTGCAAATTCCACTTGATTTAAATAAGGGCCTTACAATGGAGCAAATCAAAGCAGCACGAGAAGGAGGTCAAAGAAACGGCCAAGGAGACGGCAGCGTCGTCGCCGTGAAACAACGTTGGCCGCGAAGAGGACGGAAGCGAAGGGGGAGGAGGACGACGACGTTAGGGTTTTGGCGGCGGAGGTGGCGGGAGGGGGCGGTTGTGATCTGTCGGCGGGGGAGTGGGTGGGGGACCGGGAGGGACCGTATTACACGAACGTGACGTGTGAGTGGGCGATCCAGGAGCATCAGAATTGCATGAAGTTCGGAAGACCGGATACCGGGTATCTGAAGTGGAGGTGGAAACCGGATGGGTGCGAGCTGCCCGTTTTTGACCCGGACCGGTTCTTGAAAATGGTCAGAGGGAAATCTCTGGCCTTTGTGGGGGATTCAGTGGCCAGGAATCACATGCAATCATTGCTTTGCCTCCTCTCCTCCGTAAGTCATCCTTTGCCTCTTCTCAATGAATTACCGAGTATATATATATATATAAAATGTATTTAAAAGAAAATATTTTACAAAATCTTCAAAGTGTGACCATAATCTTAGAATGAAGGATGTAAAACTTAGGCCACGTTCTATTCAACTTTTTTTACTTATTATTCATTTTTATTGGAATCAGATTAGATCATAACTTATTCCAATTAGGTCAGAATCAATCATGGCTTTATATGGAGTAATAAGGAATACTATTACTATGGAATATTTTACAGTATTTCGTTCTAAACAAGCACAATTAAATAAAATACTCCCTCCGTTCCTAAATAAACTTCTTCTTTCGTTTTTTCTTTGTCCCCAAATAAACTTCTTTTTTCCCTTAAAAAATCCCTTTTACCCCTTACTTTTTCATACCCTACCTATCACATCATACCTTTTTACTAATAATCTACATATCACATCTTATTTTTACACATCACATCAAGGGTATTTTTGGAAAGTCAATACAAAAATATCCCTCTCTTAAATCATCAAAAAGTCAAAAAGAGAAGTTTATTTAGGAACGGATGGAGTATATAATGTATACTAATTAGATAAAATAATAATTTGAAAATATTTGATGAAATAAATCTAGTAAAACTATTTTTGTATCAATATCTAATATCATTTTTATTTAATTTGAGGACAAAGTTTACCAGTTTTGATTGAAAAAAAGTTAAAAATAGATAAATATTCAAGAACGGGGTGAGATTAAGAAGTACTCCCTCCGTCCCACAGTTTTTGTTCACTTTCATTTTTGCACATCATCCAATGCACTTCTTTAATTTATTTTATCTTGTAACTTGTATATTAAAAAATTATAGAAATTATATATTAATAATCTATATGTTAAGACAAATCAAACAAGATCACACATGACTATATTTAGGCTTACACATTGAGAGAGTTTGATGAGTCAAAGTGCTTAGATGAAAACTTGGGGACGGAGGGAGTATTTTATTCCAAATTAAGTATTTATTCGAATGGTTTAATTAATTCATATTAACCCCTATAGGTTGCAAGGCCTATGGATGTTTCAACAACAGAAGACGAAAACTTCAAACGTTGGGAATACGGAGAGTACGACTTCAACGTCACCATTTTCTGGTCGCCCTATTTGGTCCGGACACAAAGGACCGACCCTAACGACGTCACCCGCCCGTTCAACCTCTTCCTCGACGAATTCGACCAATCATGGACCACCCAAATCGGCCGTTTCGACTACGCCGTTATCTCCGCCGGCCACTGGTTCTCCCGCCCCACCTTCTTCTACCTGAACGGCAGCCTCGTCGGCTGCCAGTACTGCCCCGCCCCTAACGCCACCCGCCTCCCGTCCACCTTCAGTTACCGCCACGCCTTCCGCACGGCCTTCCGTGCCATCACCGGCACGGAAGGTTTTCGGGGTGTGGCGTTTCTGAGGACGTTCGCGCCGTCCCACTTCGAGAACGGGCGGTGGGACCGGGGCGGGGACTGCGTGCGGACCAGACCGTTCGGGAGGGGGGAGAAGGTTTTGGATGGTTATAATTTGGAGTACTACAGGATCCAGCTCGAGGAACTGAGGTCCGCCCAAAGGGTAGGGAGAGGAAAAGGGATGAGATTAAGGTTGTTCGACACGACGTTGCCGATGCTGTTGCGGCCGGACGGACACCCGGGGAAGTTCGGGCGGCCGGCGAGTATTAACGTTAGTAATGTCCCCAGCGACTGCGTGCATTGGTGCTTGCCGGGGCCTATAGATTCGTGGAACGATTTCTTGTATGAGTTGATAAGAAGAGAGGTGTAGAAATTGATAAGAGGGAATTGATTCTGTATATTCAATTGTTCTATCTAGTTACAAGGGGTTTCTCCTTTATTTATAGGAGAGGATGATTCCAAAATAGACAAGGAATACAAATCCTACAAGGAAACAAATCATAATCAAACTAGGAAACAAATAAATCAAGATCAATCCTAATTAGAATGGGATTCGGTCATCAAAGGATTTGGACTTCTCAAGTTTGGATTTCTCGGAATTCGGACCTCTCGGAATTCGGATCTCTCGGAATCCGGATTCCTCGGAAGTCGGACTTCTCCGGATCCGGACTTCTCAGTTCCAATACCCCCCCTCAAGCTGGAGCATGCGGATTCTGGATGCCCAACTTGGACAGTAAATGAGAAAACGGAGCGGAAGCCAAAGCCTTTGTAAAGAGATCTGCCGGTTGATCATTGGTGAAGATGTGGCGAGTACA